TCCTCACACGCCTTCAAATCCAGGCCCTTCCTATCCCCGCTGGTGTCACTGACCTTCTGCCTTTAATGCCCATCCAGGTGTGATGGAAAGAGCTGGAAGAAGCTGATGCCTTACCTGGAGAGCAGCAGCACTGCTGGCTGTGAGGCAGCCCCTGCAGAGCCCCCCGAGGGGCTCCCTCAGCTCCCGGGGCAGCTGGAGCCCGGGGACCACGGGGGGAAAAACCTGGAACCACACATGGAAGAGGTAATGAGCGTGGAAGAGTTATTTGTGTCTTTATGGAGCTGAATGTTTATATATCTATATTTATTCTGGTCATTCTGCTCTCTGTTGCTGGTGTCTCTCACTTGTCAGCTCAAACATCTCATGCTTTCCTCTTGTACTGCATTTGGAGTTTGGTTCCTGCCTGAAACGGCCTTTGGAGGGTGAGATGTGCATCCAGCCTCCCTGGGAGCACAGCAGTTTAGCAATAAATCCCTCCAGCTGACTCAGACTCAGGAACTCACTGTTTTGGAATCCTTTGGAGCAAATCAGCCAGTTTATTCTGGCTGTTTCTTGGGCCTAGAGCAATATATTTATAAATGTAAATAAAATTAGTTAGGTTAAGTTATAATAATATGATATAATTATAAATATTATAAATAATATAATTATAATTATAAATATTATAAATAATAATATTTAAATAAATATATTATATATAATCAAATAAATATAAATAAAAATAAATAATAATAATTAAATATTTTATTATATAATAATATAATGTAATATAGAATAGAATATATAATAGTATAATTATAATATAATATAATGTAATGTAATATAATATTAATTAGGTTTAGTTATAAAATTAATTAGGTTCAGCAGCATGTCCAGCTCCCTTTCAGCAGAGGTTATAACCATGTAGTCAAAAGTCTCAGTGCCATATCCCAGCAGTGCCATGTGATCTTACTCCTTGAATACTGCAAACAGCAGCCACTGATGGGCACAGGTTGCAGTGCCAGCAATCCTTCTGTGAAACAAAAACAGTGCAGGTGCATTTCTCCTCAGCTTCAGTTAGTGCTTGTTCAGTATTTTATGCTCCATCTTTGAACAAAGCATAAAGATTTCAGTAGTTCTGAAAGGATTCTATGAATCAGTAAAATATTTAAAGGGTAAAATATTCAACTTCTTTAAACATCGCCATCGCTTGTGATTTATCAGTATTTCATATTATTTTCTCCCTTGACTAAATGAGTTTATTTCTGAGGGGAAAAAATTAAAACCAGGATAAAATCCTACTTGTGTCTTACCCAGTTTGCAGCATTCAGTGACAACTTCCCCCTGCAATATTCCTTAGAGCAACACAAAGCTTCCTTCTGTGCCTCTGAGCACCAGCCCACAGAAAAACCTTCCTCTAGGTAGTGCCACTTTTAATCCCTTTTTCCACAGTTACTCTTCTTCTGCTGTACCGTATTGCCCTCTTTTTCATCTCTGCTGATGGATTTTAGTTCTGTGCACCTTGTTTGGAAAAGCACCATTATCAATAGATTGGTACAGAATTCCAGAAGGAAAATGGAATTTGCTGGTCTCGATTTAAAGACAAGCAGGGAGGCACCAACTCACTGCAACAGGAATTAGGTATCAGCAGGATTAATCATTTGGAGCCTGTTAGGAATTTATTCTTAAGCCCTTCTACTTTTATTAAGCCAGTATTTACACTTGTGTGCAGTTATAGGGGAAGGGGGTGATGCTACAAAACAGACACACAAATAATAAGTAATTCCTTTTAAAAAGGTGTCTGCTCCTGTAATCAGCAGAAAGCAAACTGGAAGGCTGAGAAGTGCTCTGTATCGAGTACCTTGGAAATAAATATCTTGACTTCATAAATAGACCACCAACACTTTTCTCTGAACCTGACAAAATTACCTTATGCATTGTTCTATTTACTTGTATTTGCACCTGCTCAGGGCTCAGAATTAGACAAGTAACAACAAGGCCAACAAGCAACAACCTCAGCAGGCAAGTGAAGGGCAGCACTCTCAGATGCTGCTTGGTAATTGCTTCAGTCTAAGGCCTGTAAAACCAGAGGATGCAAGAGCTCTGAAATTTGTCATGTCTAGGAAGTTCTGCTTTCCAACAGCCCAACATTTAAAAATAGCTTCTGCTGAAGGCAGGGTGTTGACCTGGGGATGATGGATGGAGAAAACACGAGTGATTCTGAGAATAAAGTGATATCCTGCCAAGGGTAGTGTTGCAAAGAGATGTCAATTATTTTCTGTAAATGCTTGCACACAAACTGCCAGCCTAATTAAAAAGACAATTATTTTATGACCCATAGAGGGTCAAATGAGAAGTTCATCCCAACATCATGGACCTTCAGCTGCTCAGAGAAGAGCAAAGAGAAGCAGTGCAGGGGGTGTTCCCAGGGCAGTGGGGACAGACACCTCCTGAGCTGGGTGTGGGATGGAGCACCCTGTTTAATGGCCAGGATTGGAGCTGTTCACCCTGGATTTTGCACTTGGGAACCAGCAGATGATTTTTCCCTCATCGTTTTGCAGACTCTTCCTCCCAGAACTGCTCCCTCAGTTATCACCATTCCTGATCTGCCTTGGTAGAGGAGCCTTTACCTACCCCTGTTATTCTGTTTGATTCTTCCACGTACTTTCCAAGCTCTATTACTCTTTTTTTGAGTGACAACAGTTGTGTTTAGTATTCTAGTGCGCTGGCTGCTGAGCTGTGTTCAGGAGGTTCCAGACCCTCTGGATCTCCCTCCCACCATCACTGCATTCCTACAGCATGGTGTGCCTTTCCTACCTGCCTCCCTTTGCAGTACTGACACTGAATTTCATCTGATCTTTTATTGCCCAGAGCTATTCCACATTCGTGAACTCCTGCTCTAATTCTTTACAGGCAGCTTTGGTTTTGATTGCCCCCCAGAAAATTGTATTGACACCAAACTTAACCACTTTGCCATGCACTTTTTTAATTTATGACTGTGCTGAACAGTTCAGGTGTTAGCCCAGCTCCTTGTGAGACCCTGAGAATGATCAAGGAACCCTCAGTCCTGGTCTCTGTGCTCTGCCCCAGGGTTTAACCAGCCCTAAATCTGGCAGGATCTGTGCTCCTGCCCTGCGGCAATGAATATTTTTTTTTTTTTTTAGTCTTTGGTGATGAATCTTGTCCAAAGCTTTTTGCAGATTTGAAACACACCCTTGTCAACTGAGTTAACATCATTCATATATATTCATAAACCCTTCCGGAGAAATCCTATAGATTCTTCACTGTGTTCTTCTGTGGATTCACCAAGTGCCTCCTCCATTCCAGTTCCTATCCATTGCCTGGCAGATTTACTGATTTGAGGGGGTTTGCTGTTCCTCAGACCATCCCAAAAACTGGTGCTCCATTTGCCATTCTTCAGTCCTCCGAGGGGGACATGATTTAGAAGATAAATTGCACAGCACAGTTCAGCACTTCAGTCTGTCCTTCTGCTACTGTTTTCTTCCCTTTTTGAAAATGTTTCTCAGGTTCATTGCTTGTAAAAACTGCCCCTTCAGCTTCTGTGCCGAGCACAACACAATGATTTTATCTCACATTCCCTAGGGGATTTTGGCATATTAATTATTAATTTTCCTGAACATATTTGTACCCACTACTCCAAAGCTCAGGTTTGCCCTGTGACATTCCCCCCCTTTTTAGAAGAGAGTTGGGTACCAGCAGCTGACTTTTCCCTAGAGCTTGAATTGGGCAAAGTAATATTTGCATTTCACAAACAAGGCTCAGATCCCCAGCCAGGCTTTGCTGAGGGACTTGGACAGAGCTAAGAACAAACCTGCTCCTCTGAGCCCCGTGGCTTAACTGCTGACCATCCTGATCCCCTCAGGATCCAGGTTTCAAAAGCAGGTTATGCTTAATTATTTTCTGTAGTGTTGAGGTGACATCAGGTGCCCAGCTGGGGAGAACAGGTTGGGAGGATGTTTTAATGGTGCACTGAGCTGCTTTCTCCTCAAGCAGTTAAAGACCACCATTGCACACCCACGTGTGCAAATGAAACACAGGCATCAGGAGGTCAGCAGCCCTGCAGGTGGCCAGGTGGCTGCCGAGGTGTAATTGGTGGGGGAAGCAGTCTGTGAGCAGTTTACAGCACGGGAGACACGGTGCAGATACAGGTACAGTGGGCTCTGTGGGAGCAGTGCAGACCAAGAGGAGGAAAAGGCAGCAGTAACAAGAACAAATGCAGTCCATTTTCCCTCTCTGGTATTTGAGATGACCCTGCCTTGGCTGCGCAGGGGACCAGAACAGCTCCCTAGGGGTGTAGAATCACAGAATAGAACCAGAGAACCGTTTAGGTTGGAAAACCCCCTAAAACCATCGAGTCCAACCATCCCCCAGCTCTGCCAAGGCCACCACTAACCCACGTCCCCAAGTGCCACATCCACACAGCTTTCAAATCCGTGCAGGGATGGGGACTCCTCCCCTGCCCTGGGCAGCTGTGCCAGGGCTGGACAGCCCTTTTGGTGAAGAAATTTTCCCAGTATCCAATCTAAACCTCCCCTGGTGCAACTTGAGGCCATTTCCATCTTACCTGGGAGAAGAGACCCAGCCCCACCTGCTGAAACCTCCAAAAGGTGCCTGTCAGGAGCAGTAAGGTCCCCCCTGAGCCCCCTTTGCTCCAGCCCAGTTCCCTGGGCTGCTCTCCCGAGGTTTGTGCTCCAGCCCCTTCCCTGGTGGGATTCACAAAGCACAGACAATCTGCACTGTGGTGAGGGAAAACACACACTGAATTCACTCCTCTGCAGACAGGGCAGATGAAATCACTGCTTGGCAGATGGACCAGAGGAAGGGATTTCAAACCTCTGGAGCTGCTGCAGCGCTCCCAGGGCATGGAGAGGGTGGGGGGAGCTGATGGAACAGGCTGGTCTCCATCTGATGGAGGAATAAGTGCCAATTAACACACCCCATCAGCACTGTCAGAGAATAAAATGACCTTCTAAAAGGCGTGGTGTGGATCAGGGGTCATTTTCTTTTTCACTCTGATAACACTTGTGTTTTAGGGAACTGAAGTTCCCTCTCATTTGTTAAAATTCATTAGGGTGCAATTTACACTGACACACACACAAATCTACTCTCTCCTTATTTCTAAACCTGCAAGGAAGATAAAAAGATGACAACAAAAAGGGATTATCAAAGCCAGCACAGTTGGCATTTACCCTACATGATTTTATTTTTCAGTGTAAAGTTAATGAATATATGTTGATTGTGTTTGCAAGAAAAAACTGCAAAAAAAAAAGGTACAATTTTAGTATCAGGCACAATAATGGTTGGTAGGTTTACTTTTATTAATAAACCTGGAACCTCTCAGTGCTCTCAACAGTTTAAAATTAATAATTTAAGTGCTATATTTTTTGAATAATGCTTTTCAGGCTCTTTTTAGCAATTTGGCCATGTGTCTGCCACAGGCCTGGCTCTGTGACAGACAAAGGTATTTACTTTTACAAATGGTGTGGCAGCTTTGTAGTTCAAAATATGTCACTTTTAGGTTTTACATTGGAACAAAAAGCAAACCTGAACATTTTTTTTTTCACAGAGAGGTCTGAGACAACTGACAGGTCAGTTGAGCTCTGCAAGGTCCAGGTCTGAGGAGACTCCTCTTGCCCAGGATTTCTGAACTGTCCAGGTCTTGCTGAGTCTGGACATGCTGCCAGTGTTTAGCAGAGCCAAAACCCTTTTTTTTTTAATTCCTTAAGACACTTTTTTTTTTCTTCTTCTTTTACCAAAATTCTTTAAAGACATTAGCTTTAAAGACATAACCTTCTTGTTTCACTGCACGTCCAGATGATTGCTATGTGGGATTGCAAGACAAAGATAGGATAACCTTAGTGAGGGCACACGAGTGGGTTGTGCTTTGGGGAGGAAAGGGGAATGAAAAAGATTGGGAAGCTGAAATAGCAGTAATAGTATTTAAAACTTCTGAATGATCTGCCTGCACCCAGTGTTGAGTGAATTGTATCCATTTCCCAACAATTATTGATTCCTGTGGGATGTTAAAGAAATGTCCTTCCTTTCAAGAGACTCTTGTGGAGTGAACTGGCATTTGCCACATAGAGGGGGAAACTCAGCTTTGCAATTCTTGGGCAAGAAAGGAAAAGCTCCAGGGCTTTTCACTGCCTGTGTCCCTGTCCAGGTGAAAGTCCCAGTGCTGGGGGAGCTGCAGCAGAAGGTGGAGGAAGCCGAGCTGTTGAAGATGGAGCTGCAGATGCTGGAGACGGAGAGAGTGAGGCTGTCGCTGGTGGAAGAAAAGCTCCTGGATGTTTTACAGCTTCTTCAACAACTCCGAGACTTGGTAAGGCAAGACAGCAGTCCTGAGACTTACAACTGGGGTTTATAGTGTCCTTAGAACTGCTTTTATAGTGTCCTTAGAACTGCTTTTATAGTGTCCTTAGAACTGCTTTTTATAGTGTCCTTCCCAAACCAAAGAGTACATTCATCCCTTCTATTTAAGTGCAAAATCCTTCACAGCACGACATGTTTTTCCATGTGTGTGCCCTGGGAAGTGCCTGGTGATTGCAGAAAGCTGGGGCTGACTTTCTGAGAGAAGCCCAGAGGTCTCCTTGAAGCTGAATCTCAAGGCTTTTTACCCTCTAAACAAACATTTGGAGGAAACTAGGAAAACGAAAATAGTGAGGAATCAGATTCTATCAGATTTATTTGTCCTTCTAGGGCAGGGCATTCTAATATAAGACTGAGTCAGTATTAAAGGGATAACCCCCTCTTTTATACAGCAATGAGGCATTTTTTGAACAAAGTTTCTTACCCAATTCATAATCCAACCATGAGCTTCCCAAAACTGATGCAGTAACACCTCAGCAGTACATCCAGTACAGCAGCTCAGCCCTCAGGAAGAGGAGTTTGAATCTCCTGCTTGGGACTGATAATGGTCACCAAAAGAGAGGAAAACTGGATGATCTGCAGGACACTGAGTGTGTTGGGAGCTGCACTGGACTGTCACCAACTGATTCCTTGGGTAATCAGTTCTGAGCCCAGTCTGGGTGAGGTGAGACTGGTTCCTCAGACCATCATTTTGCTTTGTTTGAGGTCCACGAATGCTCCACTGGTGAATCCAAGGAGCAAGTGCAATCCCTCATCACTCTGTCACTTCTTTTAGCACTTGACATCGAAGTTCTACTTTCATACTGCAAGTCTGACACGTGTGTCAGTAAGAATCCAGTGAAGGATTAAACTAGTAAAGACTGTGACTGGCAACAAGCATGATAACCTTTTGTGTCAGGCCTGACCAGCGTGTCATTCACTGGTCAGTTGTATTCTCACAAATCATCTCTGCTCAGGGACAGCCCATCACGCAACATACCCCATCTCAGTGACAGCAGCACCTGCTGCTAATCCCTGCTGGCAACATCCAACATGATCACTCACAGCATCCCCAGGGCAGCTCACAAGAGTCCCCTGTGCCCCTGATGGGATGTACTTCAGACAAAAAAAAGCTTATCCAGCAGAACCCGTGGGTTTAGGTGTCACTTGCCCACCATATTCACCTTCATGTTTTAAATATCCCGAGCCCCTCACTTGCAGCAGGAGGTGCCACAAGCCCTGGCTGTGTCCACAGGCACACACAGCCCTGGTGGGACTGTTTAAAGCTCCCCCTGTGCTGCAGAGCCCACATGTGAGCCCAGCCTGGCACGAAGTGCTGTGCCCTGTGCACAGTGCCCCGGGCAGCCGAGCAGATGACACAGCAGTGGCAGTGGCAGTGAGAGCAGGACCAGCGCTGCCTGCACTGCAGGGGTGCAGCATCTTTCTCCCAGAGCTGCTGCCACCCATTTTCCCCTCCTGGAGTTGGAACAGGACCGAGGTGTCCCTGTAGATCCAGGCTCTCCAAGTGCTCATTAGTCTGGTTGCCAGCCCATGTCCCAGAATCACACAGCATGGGAGGACAGTCTGCTTCCCCAGGCACGTGATGTAATGGCCCAGCAGATTTCTTATGTAAAGCTACCACTGGAAAAGGCCATCCAAATCCCAAGTAGTCTTTACAATGCTCTTACTTTGGCTAATATTGATTGCATCCCAAGATACACCACCAGGTCCATCCGTGCACATCCCACCCAGGCCTGGCAGACACTCAACAAGCCCTTGCTGTGCATGCCCTGCTTGCATTTCTTGCCCTCTAGATTTCTTTAGGCACAGCTCTGGAAAATTCTGTATTTTTCCACTGAACAGTTGCTATTTCTCTTTCTACAACCACATGAATGAATTGCAGCCCTCCACAACCTGCTATTATCTGGGCAGTGTGTAAGATAAAAATGCTCGATAGTGAAGCAAACATGCAGTCTTGTGTTACTCAGGACTCAGTTTCATTTTGGTTTACCTTGCCAATGCGAATGCCCTGCACACAGGTTTTGTTGCATACATGTAAACTGGTGGGGGATGTGTTTGTGCCATAACATTGGTTTGGTTTTTTACAGAACATCTCCAAGAGAGCCCTGGGGAAAATCCTGCTGAGCACTCTGGAATCCTGCCGTGCCCCCCAGCCTGGTAAGCAAATAAATCATGTGTAAGGCTCAAAAGGATCCTTTTGGGACAAATACCAGATAATACACAGATGAAGAGGAAAAAGATATTTCGAATACTGGGCTTACAGGCTGGGGAGAATGAAGTACTTTGTGAGGAGACTACCTATAGAAAGTGATGCTTTCTAGCCTGTGGCACATTAAAAACATCCAGGGCACTCGTTTAGAAAAATTTTAGGCAGAATTTTGCCTTAGGAGAGCAACTCAGCACCCCACTAATGTTTGCAGATGATATGAGCAAGTGGAAAACATGACCATGTGAGGCAACTATTTATGGGGTTTGCCATCCCACTGTGTGTTGAATTCCTCTGCTGCCACACTAACCAGATACACAAATCACAATAGTTCTGTGCAGAAACCACACCAGACCTGCACTCCTCTAATAACAACAACCTTTGGTGCTGCTCTTATGAAGATTAAACTTGCAGACTCTGTCCCTTGACAGTGCTCTGTTGTGCCAGGGCTGCCTTTGCAGGAGCCACACAGGGATCAGAGCCCCAAAGATGAGGTTTGATTACTTTGCTCCCATCAGCAGAACATTTGTACTTACCTTCCAGAAATGAACAGCCTGTACCAAGAACATGGCTCAGAGGTGCTTTTAAAATAGGCAGGCAGGAGTCGAAGACAAGGTTATAAAAGACCAGATGCGCCCTGGGGGGTTAGATTTGGAGAATTTCATTTACAGGGATTAGCAAACCCTCCTGGGTTTTGCAGCTTCAAAGCCACGTTGTTACTCCTGCCCAGAAATCCAGGGCACAGGTTGTGCTGTTCCAGCACAGAGGAAGCAGAGAAGGAGGCAAAGACTTTTTAGGCTCCAGGACACCAACACAGAGGGGAACTGAGCCACAGGTCTGGTGGGTGCTCTTCTGGTGAGAACAGAAGAGACTGTTTATATTCACAGCACACATTGCCCAGAAGATCCTGCTACAGGAACACGGACTGAAGTGATGCTGCTGAAACAGAGCCCTGGAACAGCAGCACAACTCAGCTCCCTAAACCTCCAGGCAGGGCCCTCTGTGCCCTCTGCACCACCAGTGCCATGCACAGCTCACCTGCTCTGCTCCCACTGCTTGGCTCTGCACTTGGCAGGAGTTCAGCAGCTCTCCTAAGTGTTTGTAATCAAACATCTTGCCTTGGCCGTCCAAGTGGATGGTTGGAATGGCAGCTCTCAGTTGTGACATGAAATAGTCTTTGTTCACACCGTATGTGACACCTCAGTGGGCAGAGTATGAAGGAAGAGAACTGGCAGAGAAAACAGTCAAGCACAGTTTTGCTCACGTTTTTTTTATGGGCAGGAATTCATTATTTGGTAGCAAAATTTAGACATTTTATGATAATTACTTGAAATGGCACCTACGAAGAAAGGAGCTTGTTATGATTGTGAAACTCAACTGTCTGTCTCCGTTCCAATGCTAATGTTTGCCATTTTCTCTTAAAAGGCAAAGCCCACCTGTTTGAAGTCCTGGATACCCTGCAGCAGGAGCTGGCAGGCTGTGAACTCCTCCACCAGGAGCCCCTGGAGCAGGGGCAGAGCCCCCAGTCCCTGTCCAACCCCCTGGTGATCTCGTGCTGAGCCGCAGCACCAGCGACTGCACTGCCCAACATCGCCCTGGGCATCGCACAGGGGTGGGCACAGCGCCCAGCTCAGCCACCCCCATGCTGCCCAAGGGCACCTGAGGGGTCCAGCTCTGCCATCCGAGCTGTGGTGCCCCGGGAAGGACAGCAGATCCTCTGGGAAGGGCAGCAGATCCTTGGCTGGTTCCCAGCCCTGTCTCAGGGAGGGGTCAGTCCTGTCTCCCTGGAACATCCCCATCCCTGGAGGTGGCTCTGGGACTGTCCTGGTTCACCACAAGAAACTGTTCCAGCCACACTCACCTGCCCACTGAGCTCTGCAGCCCTGTGAGCTGGGCACAGTTGTTAGCTCTGGTGCCAGCCTGTGTTATCCCTGGTGAGGAAACAGCTTCCTGAAGGTACAGCTGACGGTGACTGTGGGACAAACACACACAGCTGGGTGTGCCAGCAGGGCAGCTTTTAAAGGCTTTGTATTTCTGATTCAATTATTCACCTTATTTAACTCTGAAGTTTGATTTGTTATTGCTCTGCTGCATTTTATATTTGCAATTACAGGGATGCCTTAGAAATCTGCAGCAGTCTCTCCTGACAGCAGTCAGGCTTTACATAAAAAATCAAATTTAACTGCTTGAAAAATGTCCAAAGCAATCTTGTTCCCAGGCTCTCAGAGAAAGGAAGGGTTGGAAAATTCTCTGTGCAAAGCCGTTGTTGTCACGATGGCAAACGACACGTGCAGGGCACAACTTGGTTCTCAGGTTTAATTTCTCTCAATGCCACTGAGCAGACACAAAGCCAGACCCCACAAGCAGGAAGATTAGTTTCGAAAGCTGGGCCTAATTACAGTGCCACACAATAATTTAACCAGCAATAAAACAATTCCTGGGGACAAAAGTACAAAAATAGGTTGATTCCAAGATGCTTTCGCTGTTTCATTCAGCTGGCAAACACAGAAATGGAAGCAGCAGAGTTCCTAAGTGATCCCACTGAATTTATGTTATTAAAGGATACACTGTAGATTGTTTAAGAATGTGGAATGATTTGCCTGAGAGAATGCCACCCAGGAAATTAGACCATTCAACTGTGCCTGTATGATTTTCTCCCATGAAAATGGTTTTACACAGGAAAAAAGTCCACAATTCAGTCTGGGGGATAAGAAGATTTCTATTCTTTCTCTTCAGAATACACTGTGTAGCTCACACACAACTCCATTAAAAACTGTGCTACATCAGAGCCCTGTTGCTAACCAAAATTTGCATTATTTTCATTTTACAGGAGAAAAAAATATGTTTTGCAAACAATGAAACAAAATGAAACAAACTCTGTTCAGTGGTGTTTTACCTGGTTGAGTGTTTTTGGTTTGGGTTTTTTTTTAGTTTACCAGAGGAAGAATTTAAGAATAGATATATATTGTTAATGTACATTTCTCATGAAGGTAAATTAGACAGACCATAGATAAGCAGAGCAATATTCACATCATACCAGAGCATCATGCACTATTAGTTGGTACAGAGTGCAGTACATGCTTGGATTGTGCACTACAAACAGATACCAACTGAGAGGAGCAGAAGTGAACTCCCTGCTTGGGTTCATTGTCTGAAAAAAACAAGAAGTGTCAGTTTGTGTTCTGTGCAGGTCTCAGCCTTTCCCAGGAATGCTGTGAGAGTCCAGAGAGAGAAGGTGCCAGGAGATCCTGACCTCAGCAGGCTCTGTGGGTGCAGATGAGGCAGCTCAGGAGCAGGATTTCAGTGGCTGTGGATACTCCTGTGCTGCAGGTGCTGCCATCCCTGGAACCTGCAGTGTTCCCTGGATCCACACCCTGGGATTGCTGTGTTCACTCTACACTTTTAACATCTTGTTCACCACTGGGTTCCCACTTCACTTTCTAAAGCATTTCTATAAACCCAGACAGTTAAATAAAGGGATGTCCTGATGCAGTATGGGCTGGGTTGGTGCTGCCCAGCTTATCCAAGCGCCTGAACTGCAACTGGAAACCAGAACATGTCACTGCAAACCTGAGCTGGTGCTGAGGGAGATGCAGTTGAGATAAAAGGAAGCTTTTGTGAATAAATAAACAGCATTTCACTGACACAAGAAGCAGCAAAATCCCATCTTGCTAAGTTAGCTTCAAATCCTGTAACATTATTATTTCTTTAAGAAATGCCTGTGTCCGAATAATTTGTGATACATCAGCGTGAGCCGATTAACTTTTTAATGGTAAAAGCTGATTATTTTCCCTCCAAAAAGTAACTCATATGGAGCAAATCAGACTTGCAGTTCTTCAGGATGGATCAAGAAACAGCCCTCAGCCAAATTCTTGCTGGCAGTCAGAGGCAATGCAAAGCCCTTGAAAGATTTACAATTGATTTTTTTCTTACATCTCTTACCTTCATGTTTTACCCTGATCCTGTCAGTAGTGTTCCTGAGGCTGCTAAATGTTTCATACAATCCTGTATAAATTTGTGATTTGAAATCAGTGGGACTGAGAAATTTCCAGCCCTGCCTCAAAAGCAGGTGGGCTTCCATGGGGTGATATTCAGTGTGTTCAGGGAACATCTACCCAGTTTGAACAGATTTGGTAAAAAAAAAAAAAGATCCCTATATAGCAAAATCTGAAAAGATAAAGCACAATCACGAGCCTTCCTTTTAAAAAGCACGAGCACAAATCCAGTGTCCCCAATCTCTGCAGACACTTTGGTTTACTGTGTATTTACCAAATGGTAACAAATGGCCATTCTCTTGCCTCTTGGCTTCTCAGTAAGGAAAAAACCATCCCAGGGAGAGTGCACGTGCTGGGAACCTGCTTTGCAGCTGCAGCTTGGAAGGGTTCCTCAGGGTTTGCCTCTGGAAGGGCCCTGTGCTGCTTTTGCAGGTAAAAATCCAAGGGACATCTGTAAAAGGACAAAGGCACCCTAATTATGTTGGCTTTGAGCCACTCTGGTGAACCCTGGCCTGACACCACGGCTCAGATTTTATCTTTCCCCATCATGCTCATTCCTCATTCCAGTAGAATTTTTTTCTCAGGAAAAATTCCAACTTACAGAAAGGACAGTTTGTTTCATCCCAGTCGTGTCTGCTGGAGATTCCATAATGGAATTTACCCCAGCAAAACAGTCATTCCTCATCACCTCTTCTATGTGTCCTCTCCAGCAGAGCAACAAAGCCCTCAGGCTCCCCACTTTGGAAAGGCTGGTGTCCAGCCCTCCCTCAGATGAGCTGCCTGCAGTGTTGTCAGCACCCCCACTCCTCCAGGTCTCGAGGGATGTGACTGTTCACATGTCCCCTAGAGCTGGCAGTCTGTTCTCACAGAATCTGCATTTCCTTACCCTTAGCAGTTCACCCACAAACTGGGGTCAAACTTGCTTTCCTATCAGTCACCACCTTCATTTATTAGTTTTCTATTCAAACTGCAAACTGGCCCCAAAAGGAAGCTGGGACATTTCCCCCACTGTCTCCACTGTGTTTCCACAACAGCTTTCTGATGTGACTCCATTCTCCCCCTCCCTCCCCTCCCAGTGCCCTCCTCACTTCCCCTTTGGCTCTTTCCCTCTGGGATAACCTCAGGGTCTGCACACCCTTTACATTGTTCAAGAGGAGTCTCCTCCTCCTATTATTTTTTACTCTATATGAGCTATGAACTATTATTACATTGAAGCCCACCTGTTCTGTGAAGTTCTTCAATAATTACCCCCTTTATTTCCACCGGGGCTCTCTCTGGAGTGTTTGGCAGTGACCACTCAGCGCAGATTCAACGGAAATAAAGGGGACAATCATTGAATAACTTCATATATCAGGAGTTCCCACTGCAGTGGTGGAAGGCAGTTTGGGTGAAGAAGAAGGGAAAGCTTTTAAACAGCACTGCATAAAATAGAATTGCTTGGTGTGAGTGAGTGACACAAGACTTTCCCAGCGTGTGTGTGACACTTTGCATTACCAGCCAAAGGGTTCTCTCTCAGATTTATAATTTTATGGAGTTTAAAGCACTTTAGTATGTGCATTATCTTATTTTCTTAAGAATTTCATGTATAATTCCACAAACCATAAAACCTATAGAGCGTGTTTCCTAGTCTGAAATTCAATTTAAATCATTTCCTTAATTACACTTTACTTTCAAGATACCAGGATTTTCAGAGTTCCTTTTTGGTTTCTGTTCTACTTTTCTGTCTCTTCTTTTTGCCTCAGGATGCCAAAACAGCTCAACTTTTTTTTGTCCCCTTGACTTTTTCAAATCACCATTTTTCCTTGCAGATGAAAGCATCAGACACCACAGCTGGACTGAGGGTCTCAACTTCTTAGAAGAGCTCAGCTTGGCAAGGCCAAATCTGCTTGTTCAATGCAGCTCACTCTCTCCTTCACTGACAAACACACTTCCCAAGTGAGACTCACTTCTTAAATGGCATTTCTTCCTAAAATGCTTGTATTTTTCTAAGCTGTAACTCTTTTAGACTCTGTGTGAAGAACTGCCTGCTCCTGGACTTAGCCCCCCCCCATCTATTTCCAGACTGTTTTAACAGTAGAACAAAAGAAGAGAATGAAAAGCCTCAGATGAAGTTCTAGAATTCCTGGCTGACATTTCAGCCCCAGTCACCAGTCAGGCAGCAAATTCACAGTTTTCCTCCTGCCAGCACAGCCATATTTTTGTCTGATGGAACTCACGAAAGGGGAGCAAAGCAGGCAAATGTCTGGTTAAATTTCCATGTCTGCCAAAGCCTGGAGAACAGAGTACAGACAGTTGGTTAAGTTAAAATAAGAAATAAAGAAGAGTGAACTCAGCATGAAAAGAAGGCTTTGGGGAGACCTTGGAGCCCCTTCCAGTACCTGAAGGGGCTGCAGGAGAGCTGGAGAGGGACTGGGGACAAGGCATGGAGGGACAGGACAAGCAGGGGTGGCTTTAAGATGAAAGAGAGCAGGATTAGATGGGATAGTGGGAAGGAATTCTTGGCTGGGAGGGTGGGCAGGCCCTGGCACAGGTTGCCCAGAGAAGCTGTGGCTGCCCCTGGATCCCTGGAAGTGTCCAAGGCCAGGTTGGACAGGGCTTGGAGAAACCTGGGCTGGTGGAAGGTGTCCCTGCCCGTGGCAGGGGGTGGGATGAGAGGATCATTAAGGTCCCTTCCCACCAACCCATCCTGTGGTTCCTGATCCTGTGACCACAATGACTGGTGCTGCACTGCTGGGATGGGTTGGAAGGATAGTGCTTTTGCAAGCACAAAACAAATTGCATTACAAATTACTGGTTTATGATCCTGCCTCAAAGAACTATGAGATAACTTATCTTTGTCAAGGAGTGAACAAGGACTGTAGGGTGACACTGGAAAATTATCAGTATTCAAGTGGTTTCACCCACATCTTCACTGCAGAGCAGAAAGGTCATTAGAGTCTCAGAGTGTTACAATTTGATGTAATTTCTGTACCTCAAGGTTTTATTGTTTGATAGTTTGGGGTTTGCTGGTTATTTCTCATTGATTTTTTTCACAATTACAAGTGGGAAAAAGTTCTCTAACAAAGGTGAGGTCTAGTATCTTGTGAGGGATTTTCTACCTCTGAAAGTTGCCAAAAATTAGGAAAACAGAAGGGAGAATATGTGGAAGGTGAGAAGATTCAACATAAAAAATACATTTAGATAAAAATGTTACTTTTAAATAAAGAATATGCAATCCCCGTGGGAGGATCTTTGTTCTGTTTTTATGTGAATTGTGGATATCAAAGGCATTGCACAGGCAGTGCCAGCTCAGCACAGGCAGCAGCACATCTCGATCTCCTGTCAGGCACCAGCTCAGAGCAGCTCTGGGGACAGCAGGAGGAGGCAGCTCAGCTGCTAATTGCTCCTGAACCAACATCTGTCATGCCCAGGGCTCAGACACCACTGACTCATCCACCAAAGGATTGATAGTCACCCAAAAATGTCACCAGGCTTCGAGAGTCATTTGAAAGTCGCTCCCAAGTGGGCTGAAATGTTCGACTTGCTTGTGTTGTGGGGCCTGCTCTGAGCCCTGGGCCAGCACCACTGCACATCCCACCGCCATGGAAACCATTTCTGGGTCACCTTTACGTAACAGTGCAGGGAAAACATCTCCTGCCCAGCCCCA